TATATATATATATATATATATATATATATATATATATATATATCTGAAACACACAAAAACAATTTTTGAAGAAAATGGCAGGAATAGGCTATTTCAGTATTTCATTCCATTGAGATATGTACAAAATTTGTGCAAGTTCACTTGCATGAACATATACCCAAATTGTTTCTTCCTATACTTATTTTATGTCACACCTTAGGGATTATAAGCAAAATTGTTTTGGTTAAGAAACATCACCTTGCAGCAACTTATCACTGTGTGCAATAAGCCCTAGAACAGTATCCCTTCCTCAGAGCAATTGTAATTAACAATTTAATCATAAGAATATTGTTTATAATAGGTAAATATATTCATTGCTTCAACTTTGTATTTTTTCTTGTTGCAATTCTAGTTAAGTTTTTATGAAATATCTATTAGAAGATGAATGGAAATTCGAATCTCAGTTCAAGTCCTGATTTTTATATTCACCTAGAAAACTTGTTCAAGTGTGTGACTCAACTTTTGCAAGTGAAAAATTGGGAACAGGAATGGTAACATTTTGCAGAATGTACTGTGATGAACAAATACTCATAGTATAGAAAGAAATACTGTATCAATTTGACTGTTGAAAATAAGGGAAATAAGAAATAAAACAAGGTACATATGGTCTATAAGGAAAAACATAACTGCTTGCAAATTGCAATATAAACATCTCAGGATATTGAAGCTTATGAATATTTGTGTTTAAAAAGATTCCCAAGTGTCTTCTATACATCCTGCTATTTAAGAAGTACTTTCAGTTTTTTGCCAGTTTTTCTTACTCATCACCACAGTTTAAGTCATATAATAAAGAAAAGATCACCACTTCTTTTGAATAGTTCATTTTCAAAAGTTACAAATGACACCAAATTTTTCTTTTAGTTATTTTAATTGAAGTCGATGGGATTGATCTATTTAATATAGCTACCATATACCATGAATTATTATAAGTTTAGTTCAACAAAAACATTTCCAAAATATTGACATAATGAAAGGATGGACCATTAATATATGAAATGAGTTACGACCAAGGACTTTATTACACATGCCAATTTGTGTTCAGTAAATACAAGGTAATTGGACTGTTCTTGTGGTCTTTGTTTTATTCAGCTAGACAAGAAGAAGGCAAGGACTCAGGGTCTTGAGCTTTCTGAGCACAAAGCTAATTGAAAGGGTTCACATTTGTGTAAATCACCCTCTGTGTACACAAACAGAAATGTTTTATGTGTATATGCCACATTATGCAGGTTATGCATCAGATACTTTGGGGCAGGGGTGAAGAAGGGCATTCAGGCCAACTTTCAGGAGGATGATTTAATACAGGAAAATGGGGAGGCAGGAGGAATTGGGTTTCATCTTAGACTCAAGCAGAAGATCTTGAATATGGATTTAAAGGAGGGCAAAATGTGCTAGCTACAGAGAGAAGTAACAGATGTTAAAGTAGAGGGAGAGGTAGTGTAAGCATGGTGGTTTTCTCCTCTTTTCTTCCTGTGTGTTCAAATGGTAGCCCAGCCTTCCTGATCTTGGTGGTGGGGACCTTTGTGTCAGCATTTAGTCTCAGGACTTAGTTGCAGAATATTAACTATAAGAAATTCTTGATTGTGAATGTTCTTTCTGATATATGTGGTATTGAGCAGATTTGAGAAAATATGATTAATAGGCAGATACCAAAGTTTTTAAAAGACAGATTATTTTTGTTTATAGCCATGCTCCATTGCACATGCGTAGACAGGAAGCTTGGAGCAGTGACCAAGCCTTTCTTTGTTCCAGGTTTATGCTATCAACAGTGCTGGTGCTGGGCCAAAAGTGCAGATGCGAATAACCATGGACATTAAAGGTATAAACGAACTGCCTTCCATTAAACTGTTGTTTTCTTAACCAGATGGTGATTGTAAACTGAATCATGTGCAGGAGCTAACCTTTACATGATGAATTTGCATGTGATATGCATATGTTAATAATGTGTGCATATTCAAAGTTTAGTTTAACCATCTAAATGATGACATGAATTATTGTTGAAGAGAATATCCGTCCTAAAAGTTGTCACCTAAACTTGATTTTTATTGGAAAGTGATCTTTATAAAATTGCCTCTGCCTAGACTGAATCTCTGTATTAGGAGTTGGCTTCTGAGCAGCTGACTACCAAACTCCATATAACTAAACTTGTAATTTTGTTTCTACTGTATATCTACCACTTAATTATTTTTGCACGGATTTTAGTAAGATTCTTCTCTAGCAAATAACCACAAAACCTCAAAGAGGAATTTAAGTCCACTTGACTAGTACCTGCCTGCCCATATATTGAAATCAAGTAGTTTTTGTGCTACCTCTATCACATAAGGGAGTTCTAAAAATGAAAGAAAGCGAAAGGCTGCAAGATGTCTGGAATTGATATGTAAAATAATATTGTTTCTAAATTAAATAAATTAATTTAAAAAGGTAATAAAACATTACAGACAAAAAACAAAGAAAAAAGAAAACCCTCATCCAGCCTTGATATGAGGGTCTGTATCTAGTCTTATTGTAACCTCTTAGGCTGGGTTCAGTTGATATCCCTGGGAGGCTTGCTCTTTCCTGAAGGGAAATGAAAGCAGAGTGGACTAGGGGAAAGAGGGAAGTGGATCGGGGGATGGGGAATGGGAGGATTTGGCTGAAGGGAAAAAAAAGAAAGTAACAACAAAAACCCTTTAAGTATTTGTTCCATGCAACCTGTAGTAGAATTCCACCAAGTATGTCTTTCTAAGGGAAAGTATAATGTCTCTTTGGAAGGGACAGTGGAGCACAGTGGCTGGTCAGCCAGTCTTTCAGATAACTCTTGAGACTGAATCCTGAATTGGTCTTTTGATATCTGTTTGACTTTGGGAAATCGTCTCAACATATGTAAGTCTAGAAAGTGCAGATGCTATTAGTTCCTACCTTGCAGGTTTTTAATTATGAGGATTAAGAGTGAAGATCTTTGAAAAATCCTTCAAATAATACCTGAAAATTGTTATTATCAAGAGTATGAGATAGTCATTGTCAGATGCAATTTTACAGTTTATCATTTTTTACTAATGACTAATAAATATGGTGTCTTCTTATTTATAAGCATTATTTATTTTATTTGACAAATTCCTGGAGGGGTGGATCAGTGGTAAAAAGCACTTGTTGCTCTTTCAAAGGCCCTGGATTAAGTTCTCAGCACCTGTTCCCAGTTCTGGGTTCCAATGCTCTCTTCTCACTCTGCAGGTCCATGCATACACACTGTGCACAAACAGAGAAGCAGGTACATATACACATATACATTGATTTTTATTAAATTAGTAAGCATATATCTTGGAAATATACAAACATATAAGTTGTTTCAACTTTGATTTTTTTCACAAAATGGCTTCAGAAAAAACAAAGTAGAGGTGGAACCATGCCATCCGGATTTCTTTTCTTCACTTTGTATAGGCACACATATAAACAAGCACATTATACATATGCTTTCCTGGAATTTCTCATTTCACATGCTTTACCCACCTCCATGACAAATGCTTCTGGCTGACACTCTTATTCTAATGCCTGCAGAGAGATGCAAGGACATAGGGTTGTGGTGGAACTCCATAGAGACAACTTAGATAGTCTTTAGTGCTGCATATGATTTTGTTAGCTACATAGTGTATTGAGCTAGAAGCAAATCCACTAAGTTTTCATCTGACAGTTAATATACAGTTGGAACGTTGCACCCCAATAATGGGTTCCTGTTACTGAGATTTGTCCTCAAGGACTCCTGGTGATCTCATTGAGGGTTCAGAATAGAAAAAGCCCCAGGCCTTTTCCAAGTAAACCCTTCTCTCCATTCTGTGACTGCTACATCAGGCATTTTTGTATCTGAAAACTCTTGCTACCTACTCCTGAACTTTGCCTCTTCATTAGTCACAATTTTCACTCACAGTGAACTTCATACATGTCCAATCTCATTCCAACCTTTGCTTATCAGAATTCCAAAGTGATTAATCAAGTAAGAGATTTGCTTTTGGATCCAGTGCACAAGAGTGAATCTAAGACTCAAGTCAAAGAGTTTGGTTCCAACCTTGATATTCGCATTTACATCTGTTGGCTCAATTCTCACCTATTAAAAGGAAACAATCTTGCAAATTGTGTGAAACTATTGAGAGAGTTTTTTTTTTAAATTGAAGTTTGGATGCATAACTTTCAAACAACAAATATATATATATATATACATATATATGCATATATATGTATATATATATGTAAACACATACATAACTATTAGTAGACATGAAACCAGCAGAAACCCTAAAATATTGGTTTGGGGATTTTTATATTTATTGATGGCAAAATAGTAAATATTATGGTATCTTTGAAATTATTCTAAATACTATCTACTAATGTTGACGATATATAGATGATGAACTGGGGAGATGAACAAAATAATTGGAACACAAGTGTGACGACCAGAATTCAAACTCCCAGATCCCATGTAAAACTCAAGCAGGCATAGTGGCTCCCTGTAATTCAGCACAATGGTGGCAGAGGTGGCAAATCTCTGGGACAAGTTGGCTCACTAGACTAGCTGTATTCTTTATGTTTCTAATGAAGTAAAGTGAAAAGTGAACAAAGAAGACATGCAACATCAAATTTAGACTGCCTCATGAATGTACACACTCATGTGTACACACCCGCACAATTGTGCACCTATACACACACATTACACATATACAGCCTTCATACACACATAAAATGCACATTTCTTAAATTCTACTATTTGGAATCTCTTCTACAGAAACAAAATGGTGAACAAAGTCATCTGTTTGAGATTAGTTATTATAAAAATGCTGATAACTATAAGAAAATTAAATCCTCACCCTTGGACAGTGGTTGAAGAAATATGCAGCTGTACCACATACTGTAGCCATTAAAAATTTGAGTTAGCATTGTATCTCTGTCTGAGAAAGACTCACATGAGAAACCAATATAATGGGTAATTTTAATGCCTGGTGTATCTGCATTAGAAAAACTCAATAGTAAGAAGCCTGTTATATATGAATCTGAAATTTTACCTGATAATGTGAAAATTACCCAAAATAAGGTAGATGGTTATACAGGTTTTGACATGGATAAACAGTAAGAAAGATGATACTACAACTAGGATAGGAATTAATCAACAAGATAACAAGAGTGAAGAAAAAAAGAACACAAAAAATTAGTGAGATGTAAATAATTTCTGAAAATTATTTGTGACAGCATTTATAAATTGTTTTTAATGCATGAGGAGAGTCACATGTCTGAAAACTTGCACCTGGGCTTCAGTTTCTCAGGAAAGCCTCAAATACATAATTATACCTTTAGGAGATAATAGTCATTGTATATCTACTATACCCACAAACAACCGTTTACTTTGACATTTGCATATGCTGTCCATCACTTATCTGTTAGTTATCTACATGAAATGAGATTGTGTTTATTTTTTTCTACTCAGAAAATAATTAGTTATGTTTTACTGTTTTTTAGCTCCAGCACGACCAAAGACCAAGCCAATCCCTGTTCATGATGCCACAGGAAAACTGCTCGTGACATCAACAACAATTGCAATCCGAATGCCGATATGCTACTACAATGATGATCATGGGCCAATCAAAAATGTCCAAGTGCTTGTGTCAGAAACAGGAGGTACCTCAGATTTCAGTCTACCTTGTGAGACATTGAAATGTCAATTTCTGAATGCTAAAGAAAATTATCAAAATTATCAAGTAAAATTTACTCATAATTCGGACACAATTTAAGGTTATCAATAGACTTAATATTGTCAGTAATTATACCAATAACTTATATTTAAAATACTTGAACAAGGGGTTGCTCAGGGACCCCAGACTGATAACTGGGAAACCAGCATAGGACTGTTCCAGACCTCCTGAAGGAGGATGTCAGTTTGCAGGTCTGGGCAATCTATGGGGCCTCTGGTACACAAATAGACTTTGGGAGCCCACTCCACATAGAGGGGTGCTCTCTCAGCCTAGACACATGGGGGGGTCTAGGGCCTGCTCCAAATATTATGACAGATTTTGAAGATTCCCCCATGGAAGCTCTCACCCTCTCTGGGGAGCAGAAAGGGGTTGGGATGGGGGAAGGGAAGGGGAGGAGGGGTAGAGAGGAGGAAGAGGGAACTGAGATTGACATGTAAAATAAGTTTGTTTCTAATTTAAAATTTATCTAATTACAGTTATAAAAATAAAAAGATATTAAGCAAAAAAATGGAATAGATGTCATGGAAAAACATCCATGCATTTTGAGGAAGAAGGAAAATAACACAAATAAAAAGCATTTTCAAATGTCAAAAAATACTATACTCAAATGCGGAAAGAACTAATCAGGATATGTGATCTATTTATTGTGTTTACTTGTTGCAATTTTTTGATGATGTGCCAAGATAGAATCTTGATACCTTCTTTGGAAGTATGAACAGTAATGACAAGTGACTGATGCATGTTTTTTGTGTGATTCTCAACCTTCCTAATGCTGTGACCCTTGAATATAGTTCTTCATGTGGTAGTGACCCCCCAACCATAAAATTATTTTTGCTGCTATTTCATATTTTGCTGCTATTGTTATGAATTGTAGTATAAATACCTGACATGCAGGATATCTGATATACAATCCCCGTGAAAGGGTCAGTCAACCTCCCTGAGGGGCTGGACCCCCAGGTTGAGAACCACTGGTGTACCTGCTACATCAGTCCCCATGACAGTACTTCAGATTCCTGTGTAATGGAATACTGTCCAGGTTCATAAGCTGAATGGCCTTGTTGTTCATGGCATGACTCTTACTGCATTTAGAATTCTCTACTGGAATCACAAAAGTGCTGTGGTGATCTTAAGACAACTTCAGAGTAATTTATGTTAGGCATTCTTTTGTTCCCCTCTACCAGCTCAGCAAGATGGAAATGTGACAAAATGGTATGATGCATATTTCAACAAAGCAAGGCCATATTTTACAAATGAAGGATTCCCTAATCCCCCATGCATAGAGGGAAAGACAAAGTTCAGTGGTAATGAAGAAATCTATGTGATAGGTGCTGATAATGCCTGTATGATCCCTGGCAATGAAGAGAAAATATGCAATGGACCTCTGAAACCAAAAAAGCAATATCTGTAAGTATAGTTTATGTCAACGATGCACTACACTACAAGCTCATTAATGTATGCAACCTATCAATCAGCACACTCTTTCCTCCTTCTGGTGAGCAAAGGCATCTCTCATGGACACTGGGATACATGGGTACTGTTCATACTCTGGGGTTGAAGAGAAGGATGAGCCATTATCTATTAATTACAAAGACACACAGTGTTATAGTAAAGGCAAACAATTCTGAAAGAAAATGTTTTCATGTGATAAGTTGTTTAAAGGAAATTTGAAAGGTATGACACTGGAGAACATACAATGTAGAAGAACTTAGTTATTTCTGTAATGAACAGTGTGGTTGATGTGTTTGAACTCAGTGATTTGCTTTTTTGCCATAGATGACAATGTATGTAGGCTTTAGGAAATAGTCTTGTGGTCTTTCAATTAGTTAAGGTTTGCTTTTATGATGCTAATATCAATAACTTTCTGTTTTATCTTATCAAACAGCTGTACGAATATTTTATTAATTTTTGCTGAATTCATTGATATTGTTTTCTATTTAATTGTAAATATTATTTTAGAAAATAAGGCTACAGTTTAGAAGGGAATCATCTTAGCCTTGATTTCTCCAAATCTTACTGTTATTACTGATTTTTAAAATTGTAGGTGATCATACTTCAGCATGCTAGTTGAAATGATATTAAAATTCTTATGAATGTTTTCCCTGAGTTAGAATTAGAAAATTTACAGAAATTGGGCAACTGAAAGATAACATACTATGATTTATTATCAAAGCCAATTTAAATTTTGGTTATTATTTGAACTAGACATAACAAATTTTAAAATGATAAAAATTTCATGTTTACTATTCATTTTTATTTTGCATATTGTTTTCTAAATAGATTATTTTCAGAATGGTTGTTATCATAAGAGTTTGATAATGCTGGCGAATAAATCATACACTGTTATTTGTTTTACAATTTAAATGGCTCTTGTATTTTATGTTTTCAAATTAGGTGAATTCAGGTGTCTTCGAGGATGACCTTCTGTGCTCTTTCTGTTTTACATTTATAAAAATGGGTGAATACAACTAGGCACGTAGTGAAAATAGCAATCATTGTTCTTAATTTTGTACATGTGAACAAGACAATTCCTATATAATCTCTGTCCTTTAATTCTGTTGTATCGCCAAAAATAATATACAGCAGCTACTATTCTAGCTACTATGCTTTGTATTGGTTAATTATAGTAGCCAAATTTTTACTAATATTTAACGATTCCATCTAAACATATCTATGAGTTAGATTATCTGCTTAATGTTCTTTGACTACTCCTGGTTCACAAGTTTGGTCTAATACTTTCTTGTTGCCTCATCAAATTCAATGAGCCTGAGCGTAAGATAATTATTCATCTGGTAAAGATTAAAGTATAGACTTTTCCAGATTGTAACTTAGTCTTAAGCTCATGTCTTGTAAATTTATTTTTTCTTAAATAAACTATTAATTTTCCATAATTATTTGTTAAAATATTTGTGGAAAAGTTAATGGGACACGAAAATTATTTTTTTACAATTTAGGCCAATATCTTTGATGAAATAGATACAAAACTACTCAATAAAATACTTTAAAAAATAATTACTCTCCATGATCACATAGGATTTATCCCAGAGATAAAGAGGATACAAATAAGAAAAGAAGACGTCAAAGTATTCTAATTTGCATGGTGTGTGTGTGTGTGTGTGTGTGTGTGTGTGTGTGTGTATGTACGTATATATGTGGCCTTTAATACTTCACTAGAAAACTCTTACAGTGGGTAAACACCAGCAAAATCATAATCAAATTATTAGGGTACACAATGTATTAGCACAAAAATCAGTAGCTTTTCTATACACATATGACAAACATGCTCATAAAGAAATCAGGAACTTATCCTATTCCTTTTCTGCTCCCCAGGGAGGGTGAGGCCTTCCATACGGGATCTTCAACGTCTGCCATATCATTTGGAGCAGGGCCTGGACCCTCCCGCATGTGTCTAAGCTGAGAGAGTACCCCTCTATATGGAGTGGGCTCCCAAAGTCCATTCATATAAATACTGATCCACTACCAGAGGCCCCATAGATTGCCCAGACCTCCAAACTGACATCCATGTTCAGGAGGTCTGGATCAGTTTCCCAGCTATCAGTCTGGAGTCCATGAGCTCCCCCTTGTTCAGGTCAGCTGTTTCTGTGGGGTTCACTGGCCTGGTCTTGACCCCTTTGCTCATCATTCCTTCCTCTCTGCAACTGGATTCTAGGAGTTCAGTTCAGTGTTTAGCTCTTGGTGTCTGCTTCTGCTTCCATCAGCTACTGGATGAAGGCTCTAGGATGACATATAAGGTAGTCATCAATCTTATTATCAGGGAAGGGCATTTAAGCTAGCCTCTCCATTATTGCTTAGATTGTTAGTTGGGGTCATCCTTGTAGATCTCTGGACATTTCCCTCAGGGGAGAAGGGTAGGAAGAGAAAACTGGGATTGACAAGCTTGTTTTTAATTTAAATTAAAAAAAATAAAAAAGGGAAAAAAGAAATATATTTCTATTAGATGAACAAGAAGCATCTTAGTTAAGCTGATAGGCTAGTTTACATTATATTTTAATAGAAATGTATCACTTTATATTGGTATGAATACATTAAAACAAAGTAATCATCAAAAAAGACATCAGGAACCAATACTACTCATTATTACCTAAAAATAAACCTTAGAATGAATCTTTTTTTTTTCTTTTATAGGTTTAAATTTAGAGCCACAAATGTCATGGGACAATTTACTGACTCTGATTACTCTGACCCTATCAAAACTTTAGGTAAGATTTTGTAGTTTATCTTTAATTTTTTTCTTTTTCATGTGTATAATATGTGTGTATATATATGTGCATGTATCTATGAATGTTTGCTTGTGTGAGAATGAGTATGTATATGCAGATGAGCATGCATTTGTATCCATGCCCATGGAGAGGCTGGAAGTTGACATCATGTCTGTGTCCATCACTGTCTATTCTATTTATTGTGATAGAGCCTCTTGATGAATTCAGAGGCTTCAGTTTTGCTTATTGTAGCTATCCAGTTACCTTCAGGGATCTTGTGTTAGGATTATAGGCCACCACCCTTCCCACTAAACTTTTATCATGGACTCTGGGGAACCCAAAATTTGATTCTCATGTATGCAAGGGAGACATTTTATTCACCAAACTGTCCCTCTGGCCTTTATCTATAATCTCTATGTATTTATATGATGGTAACAGTTATTAAATGCTTGGTAAATACACTAATTCATGGCTGAATAGTCTTTGGTACAAGTGTATTTTAAAGATAATTAACCTTTTAAAGGAAAAATGGTATTTACAACATTCTTTTAGAAGACAGATGCTTTAACTATTCACATCTGGCTATAAACTTTGTTAAAGTGTTCATTGCTCAATGAAATTCTAAATAAAAAGGTATTTGGTTCTAATGTCTCATACACTAAAGGTTTTCATCAAAGAGGAATCATATGCTAATATTTTCCTTTGAATGTTTCTCAAAACTACAAGCTTTTTTTTCTTTCATGCTACTTTCATTAGTTTCTTCAATCACATCCAAACAGCAAAGTTCAGTCATATGAACATATCTCATCTGTACCATTACAATAATTAGATCCTAGCTTAGATATTCTGTATCAAGCATACCTTCTAGATTCATTTCATGTAATAGCTGCCAAATTCTTCAAAATTATATTTTAATCTGGATCAATGCTTCTCAGTCAGTGTGATTTTATGTCTCAGGACCAATAGCATCATTTACAGTAGACTAGAGGATCTCCAAGATGCTGACAAGCCTACTAAGGACATATGCATGAATGTAATCCTAAATAAACTTCAGTGGAGGGAGTATAGATCCCATCAAGGTTGTCCAATAATGGGCAGATATGCATTGATTTAGGAATATTTGCATGCCATTGGCAACAAGCATTAAACTTGTTGTATCCTATTAATTAAATAGGAAACTAATAGTATCCTATTAATTAAAACTTCAGTACTTGAGAGATTTACCAAGGCTGTGCTTTGACAGATCATGCTGGTGGTAGATTTTCCTCTCATGGTTGTTAACACACAGGATTGAAAATAAGGGTCAAAAAATCATCATATGCCAATGAACTAAAAGGGTTAAAATTTAGTGAAAATCTTGCATGGAGAGAAATCTTTATGACATGTAATAGTAAATGGGAAATGACATATATTAACTTTAATTATTTGATTTTGTTTTTACCTTAGATTGGGCACTAGCATCCTCATTTTTATCACTTGTATGAACCCTCTGTAGCTTTTTAAATCTTCCCAAGGCATGTGAGTCCATGGAAACTGCATGTAGGCATTGTGTTGTTTGTAAAATCTAATAGCAGAACATTTCTATGAATTGAAAACCAGGCATCCCTTTTTGTACCTTAGAGGGCCCTTGTTAAAGCAGAGCAAGATGAGGTCTTAAAGCCCATGGCAAAGGGACTCTCTGATGGCTTTCTGTTGTCATGACACTTCTCATTTAATTACTGTGTTAAAAATGTCCCAATGTATTCAATCTGAGAGAGGGGACAGGTGTGTGTGTGTGTGTGTGTGTGTGTGTGTGTGTGTGAGAGAGAGAGAGAGAGAGAGAGAGAGAGAGAGAGAGAGAGAGAGAG